ATTTTTATTATTATAGTTTTTTAAATCCATTTTAACTATAACTTGTATATTATACACGTAATTCAGTCTTCGGACTGCGAGGTGTTTCTTTTTTTAATAAACGATTTATCCATCCATCCATCCAGGTTAGAGCTAGTACAGATCACCATGCTACAGTAAATAAAGAACACTAAAAAGTGTCTCCTAGCCCTCATGACAATTCAAGAGAGAATTTTAGCTGCAGGGGAAACAACCTATCTCAGTTATTAATAGCGGAGCTCTCATGCACGAAGTGCGTGCAGCAGAGCACCTGATGGGTAAGAAAATTTGGTCATATGCATCCAAGAAAGTTTGGTTCTGAGAAAATCGTCTGTACAGAGTATGTCCGTACATACGTCCACCCCTTCATGTAAGCCAGGGTGAAATTTTGCATTTCAAGTACCTGCGCGTTTCAGCAGTAAATCGCATAGCCACCCGGACTTTTAGAGATAAAAAAAACAACAAAGCCGATTCTTTCTTTTGACTTAATTTTGAAGTCTACATTGGCGTGGATAACAGAGAAAGAGCTAGAGCCAGATATAAAAATGCAAAGGAGACCAACTTCATTTTAAGAATAACATGAAAATTTTATAGCAGCTGTGCCAAAATGAGAAATGCTAGCAGCCACCAAGGCTAAAATGAGTGGCAGCAAAAAAAAAGTGAACAGGACCACATACAACACTTCCCCCGTAAAACATGTAACTAGGACGTTTCTGGAAGTTTCACGTTGTCGTTGTACAAAACAACGGCAAAGGAATGTACAAAGAAAGTGTGCTGCATGTGCAAAGTTGTGTTTTTTTGCTAATTAGACCTATTGTTTTTTTTTTGCTGTTTTCGTTGCTGTCACCTCTTAGTTAGCATTACATGATTTTTTATTTTGTTTCAGTAAACTATAAATATTAAAGAGAGCTTCATTTTTAGCCCTGGCTAAACCTATATATGATCAATGGAGCAGTGACCTGAACTTGTGCCTAGTGACCTGTATTTTCTGGTATTTTGGGCCTGCCAGGATTTATGCTCGTAGTAGCTGTGGGAAATCCCCTGCCCCCAGCCCTTAGCGATAGCCCAGCTGTCAGGGCTGCACTCTACTTCTGTTTTCTTTTTTTCTTTTTGAAAATTTTATGAAAGATAATAATAAATGTTACAATATACTTATCCCGAATTATTGTAAAATTATGGACAAACACATTTCAAAAGTGCAGTGTAGGATCATTGCAGCTAAAGGTGTAACTTATGCAGTTACAAAAAGAAAGCCTAAAAAATTCAGGCTTGTAGGGATTCAAACCCTGACCTCTGTGATACTGATGCAGTACTCTAACAAATTGTATTAAGAATAACGACATTTTAATAATCATAACTATAACAAAATTCTCAAATCTGATTCGCTATCAACTGTCCTGATTTCGGCACAAATAGGACAGTGTAATAAGACAGTACACGTTATGCCTATTATAAAGTAATTGGACAGTACTTGCCATCGAATGTGACACTTTAAATGGCTTTTTTTCACTGCCAGCAAAAAAACTCTCCGAATTTCTTGTGTTTTAATTTAAAACAACCTAAAATATCACAAGTTTTGTTATGGTTTGGTAACAGAACTTCATGTCATCCAATTCGGTCTGTAATCATGTCTTATGATTAAACAATTGGACTCCCACTATGAAGTCACCAAATTTTCTTAATCATTAATTTGTATGATTACAGACAGAATTCGACTCCACTCAGTCCTATTACCATTATTAAGACCCTCTGGTAATGCACAAAAAGGTACATGTAAATTATTTGGAATTTTTCTTTTCTTTTCCCTTTCTTTGGTCAATGTGAGTATTGTTGGTTTTCACATGAACTCTCCAATACTGCATTGGACTTCAGAAGAACATCTTTGACCCTGCAAATATTGAAATCATGCAAATCATTTTAGGTTTAAGTTGGATATTCTTTGAAATCATATTTTAATGTACTTGGTGACCTCTGGTGCCTTACTTTTGATCTTGGGTGACTAGAAAACGTACCTGCCAACATTTTCTGAGTCAAACATGTGAGATCTTCGTCTTGTCGTGACTGGGATTTCCGAAAACATCCCACCATTTTCCGAAGACTTCCAAACGTTGCTGAAAATATCCAAAGATGTTCTGACAACTTCAAGCACCTCCAAAGCTTTTGAAAGACACAATTTTAGCGTGCTTTGAAACAGTTACGACACAAATTCAATATTGAGTGCCTTTTTGGAATATTTTTGTGGAAATTGTTTCAATTGAATTTTCGTTATTAATCACGTATTGAAAAACAATGACTAATTCGTCCGCATTTGTGTCTCAAGTTCGCAGGCACGAGACTCACACATAATCGGTGAGAGTTGATAGGTAAAAGAAATCTTAGTTTTTTCATAGTTAACATATGCTAGGCACCCTCTGGATTTCACAGGTTAAGAGCTTTGGGCTGCGCTTCCCAATACTGGTAATCTAATGGGGCTTGACTAGTACATGCTACCTCAGCTTAAAATTTGAAAGTGAATGGGAGGAAAAACTAATATTGACAACTCTCACAGTCACATAACTAGGCATCAATAGGAAAAATTCCCCAATAATTTAGTGTAAATAAACTTGAGAGGGATTGGCCTAGTAATATGTCTCGTGATTGTGAGTGCTACAGCACTGTTCTAGCTATGGGCTGATAGTATCATGAACAGGCAGGCCAGTTCCTGACAAACAAAGACAGGGAAGTATAACAGAGAGGTTAAAATCGATTAGAAAATTTATGCCCCCCCCCCGACCCCTGAGAGAAAATTATACTTAGTTATATATTGTCTAGTCAGCACTGTAAGGTAAATGTCGTTTTTTTTTCATTATAAGCTCATTTTAAGTCCTAATGATTTCTTTAAATTAGTCTTATATTGCTTGGGTCACCTGTTCTTGCTGGTCTAAGAGTTTTTAATAAATTGGCTGTTACTTCTGAAAAGGATCTATTAATAACAAGTTACATAATTTATATAGAGACTAGCCTTTCAACTTCAGACTGTTTTGAGACATTAGTAACAGCAGCGATGTACTTCATGATTATTTTTGATGCTTCTGTTTTCCCTGCACCACTTTCACCTGAATAAAAGGAGGAAATACAGTAAAACACTCAATTATGACAAAACCAATTATGAAAGAATAATTCTGTCTATATGTATCATAGACTATAGCTGTCTCGTCAGTCCTTTTTTATCAGCCTCAGCAGGGCTGTCACTAAGATTTCAAGTTGCTAGGTAAATAAAGATAGTGGGTGGGAACTGAAAACCTGGGAATTTCTTTTGAGTTTATTTTCCTTTTGTCTCCTATAAAGTAACTGGGGGTTGAGTTGCAGGCACGAAACAGAGGTCACAGGTCACAAGTGCAGATCTTTCCTTATGCAAGCTACAACAGCGCGCTCAAAGAGGCAGGCATCCCCTCTCTTTATGACAGGCGAGCGTCTCTATCGTCTGATCTTTTTAACGACATTGTTCTTGACATTAATCACAAGCTCGCAGGTCTGCTCCCACCTAAAGCTGAGCACCATAGGCAGCTGTGCAGCAATAGAAAGTTTAACGTGCCAGTGTGCAAGACTGATCGTCTTAAAAAATCTTTTATTGTTAGCCATAGCCTAAGAATGTAAATAAATTTGTTTAAATATGTATATTTTCCTAACACTAGGTTATCCTAAGTGAAATGTTTTTGTTAGATTTGTACATTTTTATTATTATAGTTTTTTAAATCCATTTTAACTATAACTTGTATATTATACACGTAATTCAGTCTTCGGACTGCGAGGTGTTTCTTTTTTTAATAAACGATTTATCCATCCATCCATCCAGGTTAGAGCTAGTACAGATCACCATGCTACAGTAAATAAAGAACACTAAAAAGTGTCTCCTAGCCCTCATGACAATTCAAGAGAGAATTTTAGCTGCAGGGGAAACAACCTATCTCAGTTATTAATAGCGGAGCTCTCATGCACGAAGTGCGTGCAGCAGAGCACCTGATGGGTAAGAAAATTTGGTCATATGCATCCAAGAAAGTTTGGTTCTGAGAAAATCGTCTGTACAGAGTATGTCCGTACATACGTCCACCCCTTCATGTAAGCCAGGGTGAAATTTTGCATTTCAAGTACCTGCGCGTTTCAGCAGTAAATCGCATAGCCACCCGGACTTTTAGAGATAAAAAAAACAACAAAGCCGATTCTTTCTTTTGACTTAATTTTGAAGTCTACATTGGCGTGGATAACAGAGAAAGAGCTAGAGCCAGATATAAAAATGCAAAGGAGACCAACTTCATTTTAAGAATAACATGAAAATTTTATAGCAGCTGTGCCAAAATGAGAAATGCTAGCAGCCACCAAGGCTAAAATGAGTGGCAGCAAAAAAAAAGTGAACAGGACCACATACAACACTTCCCCCGTAAAACATGTAACTAGGACGTTTCTGGAAGTTTCACGTTGTCGTTGTACAAAACAACGGCAAAGGAATGTACAAAGAAAGTGTGCTGCATGTGCAAAGTTGTGTTTTTTTGCTAATTAGACCTATTGTTTTTTTTTTGCTGTTTTCGTTGCTGTCACCTCTTAGTTAGCATTACATGATTTTTTATTTTGTTTCAGTAAACTATAAATATTAAAGAGAGCTTCATTTTTAGCCCTGGCTAAACCTATATATGATCAATGGAGCAGTGACCTGAACTTGTGCCTAGTGACCTGTATTTTCTGGTATTTTGGGCCTGCCAGGATTTATGCTCGTAGTAGCTGTGGGAAATCCCCTGCCCCCAGCCCTTAGCGATAGCCCAGCTGTCAGGGCTGCACTCTACTTCTGTTTTCTTTTTTTCTTTTTGAAAATTTTATGAAAGATAATAATAAATGTTACAATATACTTATCCCGAATTATTGTAAAATTATGGACAAACACATTTCAAAAGTGCAGTGTAGGATCATTGCAGCTAAAGGTGTAACTTATGCAGTTACAAAAAGAAAGCCTAAAAAATTCAGGCTTGTAGGGATTCAAACCCTGACCTCTGTGATACTGATGCAGTACTCTAACAAATTGTATTAAGAATAACGACATTTTAATAATCATAACTATAACAAAATTCTCAAATCTGATTCGCTATCAACTGTCCTGATTTCGGCACAAATAGGACAGTGTAATAAGACAGTACACGTTATGCCTATTATAAAGTAATTGGACAGTACTTGCCATCGAATGTGACACTTTAAATGGCTTTTTTTCACTGCCAGCAAAAAAACTCTCCGAATTTCTTGTGTTTTAATTTAAAACAACCTAAAATATCACAAGTTTTGTTATGGTTTGGTAACAGAACTTCATGTCATCCAATTCGGTCTGTAATCATGTCTTATGATTAAACAATTGGACTCCCACTATGAAGTCACCAAATTTTCTTAATCATTAATTTGTATGATTACAGACAGAATTCGACTCCACTCAGTCCTATTACCATTATTAAGACCCTCTGGTAATGCACAAAAAGGTACATGTAAATTATTTGGAATTTTTCTTTTCTTTTCCCTTTCTTTGGTCAATGTGAGTATTGTTGGTTTTCACATGACCTCACTAAAATTCAAACTAAAAAACTATCGATCCTACCAAGATTTTACTTTCACGATGTATTAGAGCAGCTGAAAACTAATTTTCATACAAATTTTCGCTTCAAAAGGGTTCTTGGTTTTGTGATAGAGTACACTTGAATTTCTAAGCTTTTATGTGACGCGGCATTTACATGAGGGCCAAGAGAGCTATCATGTAGGTTAAAAAAATGACTCATTTCAGGAAATTTTGCTATCTAAACAGTTCGTGTGATTAGAAAAAGTATTACTTTAATGTTTCTGAGTTTCTTGAAGAATGAATTCATGCTTTTGTAGCAAAACTCGGTATGCCGGAGCTCATCCAGGTGAGCTCCAGCATGGCATCTCCATACAAATCTCTATAAGTTTGGGTAAAACATTTCTTCGGATATCTCGTATACAAAATATTCCTCTGACCTGAATCTTGGCCAGGGTCTTTGTATATATTTGTACCTCCCTTCATTTCCCAGATTCTGGACTTTATCTATTGAGCGGTTTTGATTTTTATTTTGATCTATTTTGAATGGCGTGACACTGAAAACCAGCAATCTAGATCTCAACCAAAGAGTCAAACCTGTGCTGAGTGAAAAACTCTTTTTAATAATTAAAATTATTAACTGTGACCAGCTGTTTATTTCAGCCTGAAGGCATTATTTTTTATCTTGCCGCTATAGTTATATTTTGCATTATATATATTAGACGTCAAATTTGACTTCAGGTTAAAATGTTTTATTCTAAGTTTTATTTTGCTGGGGCTATAGCTCACACTCCAAGCTCGGAGGTAAAGGAGGTTGAGAATCAACCTAGGTTAAACCAAAATTAACCTGAAATTAAATTTTAACTGAAACATTATTCTATCAGATGATATAAAATTTTCAAATAAGGCAGTATTTCTTAATGTATAGTGCTATCTCATCTGATCTTCAAGATCACAGTTCAAATGTTTTTCTGATATAGTTGTCCAGTATTTAATTTGCCATTGATATTAGACTGACTTCGGGTCGATTTAGATGGTATACCACATGAAACTAAATTAGTTTTATTCTAGTTGAATTCAACAGATTATTATAATACTTATTGGTAGGTAACTGTTCCAGATAGTAAAATACTTTGTAGAGGTTGCAAAGCAACATAATAATAACAATGAATTATTGTTTTTATTAGCATGTACTTATGGCAGCATGACAATGTATAATAAATTAAACATTTTCTTGCACTGCACAAAAACAACATAAAGAGCTACATTTTTAAGTTCTAAGAGAACTGAGTACTATAATGAAAGAGTAATCCATATAATGTCCTTTAAATGTTAAAAATATACAGCTAATGTAAAATGAGAGAAGTACCAGAATTACAGAAATGAAATCTATAGTTGACAGGACTTTGGTAAATATTAACTTCACTCATGTCTAAAAGGAAAACCATTAATGATATTAATGCCACTACATGATGTCACTGCTATTAATATAAATTTGGAGCCCGCAAACCACATAGTGTGAAGGGCCACTCATTATCAAGATCTTTATCGGCTGAAGATGTTTCAAAGAAAGTAAAACTGAGATAACAATCTGACTGTACTAAAGCTGACCTTTGTGGTGCAGGAAGAACATAAAAAAATTAAAGCTTACATAATTGTGAATCACAACATAAATGCATGTGATCTACACAGTGGTCTTCTGACATTCTTTAAAAGAGTTTTTTTTTGACCCAGTAACCTTCTATTACAAAAAAAAACTAGAAAAGCAAAAACAGTGTTTGTTTTCATCATTTTACCACTATAAGAAGCAACATATTTTTTACCAATCATATAAACTCAGTTATTTTGGAAAAAAAAGCAAAAAAATTTTAAAAAAATAGTTTACTCAACCATTTTCAACCTGATTTACGAGTATTGGAGAAGTCATAATTTTTTTTAAAAAGTTTCCAATATGATATTTGTTATGGTTGTACAAACTTGAAACTATGCAAATAATACACCACAAAAGACTGACAGCTATGGCTTTAATTATTTTTTGACCGTGAAGAAATTGAATATTAAACATTGAAGAGATAAAAATTGGAAAATAATTCATGCAAATAATTTTACGGTTTGTTGACAGTTTTGAAACCGAAAAAATATTCTGGACTTTTCTTCAAAACTGAAAAGGGATGGTTTTCTTTTTCGAACACTAATGTCGAAACTGTTAAGGGTCAATTTTAATAGAGTTTTCAAAAAAAAGTTTTTGAAAAACTTTTCCTAGATACTTCAATTTACTTTAAGAATTTCATTACGTACAAGGAGTTCAGACGTCATTCCAATATAAACAAAAACAATTTAAACCGATATTTGCAGTTACCACGCAAACTATGCGCCGAAAAAGGCTGAACTTCCGATTGCAGATATACTGATTGTCTATACAAACACCACATGTATTGTTTGACCAAAAGATTCATACCACAGAATTCTATTTCGAGTAAAGATCAAGCCCACTCTAAAAGCTCTTGGATGAAATTAATTGTTACTAAACCTCTGATGAATAAATTAGATGAGCGAACCTAAATAAAAACAGTCTTACCTGAAATAACGATACAGGTGTCTTCTGATCGTCTTTTCATCGTTCGGTAGGCAGCATCAGCCAACGCGAAAATATGCGGCGGCCTTTCATACATTTCTCTCATCTTGTATTCTTGAATCTTCTCGTTTCCAAAAATGTTCAAAGTCTTGTATGGATTCACGGACACAAGCACTTCGCCGATGTAGGTGTAAATTCGCTCCTTCTTAAAGCGAAGCTTAAGGTTTTTCATAAATTCGTCTTTGGTGATTTCGTCCAGAAGGAGAAAATCACCTTTGCCATACTCCAAGCTCTCTTGCTCCGCCATCCTTCGAGCTTGGTTCTGAACAGAAGATTCAAATAAATTACAGTGAACTAACTATCTACAAGCTTTCCATCGGCATTCAATCTATTGAATCTTCTGATTGGTCAAATGTAAGCGCTGCACCAATCACAGCCTCCGATATATCGTAACCACTGACCCGGCGAAAAGTGGGCGGGAGAATTACAAAAGTTTTCAAAGCATTTTTCTTATCTTTCGGCAGATCACATGCAAAAGCCCAGCCTTTCCGTTCCCAGCGTATTAGTTTTGTTGCCAGCGAGATCACGCGAAATATAAATATAAATTAATGAGGGCACTCTTCACACACTCCGCTCAGGAATGCCTTTGAGCTGATTAAGTGCCCATTTAAGGTCATCAACACAAGATCGAGTTTCATTTGACGTAACTGTGCAATTATTAATAAATTGGCAAGGGCAATATTATTTTTGATGTAATATTTGTCCGTAAAGAGTAACATTTAAAAATTATATTTTAAATTTACATGTATATTTCAGTTTAGAAAAAAAAAATCTTAACCTGGCATCAGTGGTCTTGCAGGGTTAGTATTTATAAGTTCCAAGGCCAAAAAAACAAAGTATCGTTAATAAGCAAAGGTTGGAATGCAATAAGCAGTACATTATGACGTTTTCACCAAAAGGGAAAGGGGGTCTGCAGCGAATCCGAGCTTTGCATTTTACAGGGGATTAAACCGCATCGATGCACAGGGTCTCTTCATGTTCCAAATGCAATAAATTTCCTAAGTTCCTTTCATCAAAATTACCGTCAGAGGTCGTGTAACTCACCACATCAGAAGAAAATGGGAAAAAAACAAAAGGAAAGACAAATTAATGAAAAAAAATTAAACAGTTTCCGGTTTTATAAACTGATCGGTTTAATTAGACTATTAAACCATTGTTCCTAAATAGCAAGGGCCAACGTAGGAAACAAAGGTGCCGGATCCTAATGGATCCAGTCAGCAAAATTTTTGTTTTGTTTTTTAAAATTATTGTGTTCTTATTTAACTTTGGCCATTATATTCTCTTGAATATTTTACCAAAAATTGCTACTAGGAATAATCACCAGGGATCATTGCAAAGTTTTTTAGATCGAGACCGATATATATCTGACTGGGTTTAATGCGATAGAAGAGCCTGCAATCAGTCTCGAAGAGAACCAAATCCAAGCACCAAGCCTCACCCTCCCCACCCATGACAGTCACTATGTACTAGTCAATCACTGCCACTAGCATTATGATTATCATGAGCGCAATGTGGTTGGGCTAGCCCTCAGGGAGTATTCCTTAACTTCGCACTGCTTTCTACGGTAACTTGAAACTCTAATTAACGTGTCAAAAGGTTCCCCACCCCGTTACTTTTGATACAGAGCTGCTAGCTACCCACGCACAGAAGGTCTGTCCTTGGGTCTGTTCCTTGCCGGCACCAAGCTTTACAGCAAGCCCCCTCCATTTGCTCGGGATTTGTTTCGGCTACCCTGGCTTAAAACCAGGCGATACTTGAGTTCAAGTAAGAGAGGATAAAGTTCAAGGTAAAACCTGGCGGGCACGTTTTAGCAGATTCAGACAGATATACATCGCCTGAAAGATTTCAATACTGAAATAAAATCCTCAACTGTAGAAAATTTTCAGCAATCGCTGAGTTTTATTCATATCTTCGGACTGCGTCGTTAGTTAATCGTCCGGCACCGAACTTCAGTGAATCGGGATTCACCCAATCAAATTGCAGAAACGAAAACAGCACACGGAACCGAACTGGTTCCGAACTGGCGAAAAGCACGGGAAGACGCGGGAAATTAGTTTAGTTGGCATTTTTTCCAAACAACACACAAAACGACATGGTTCGCTGGCAAACGTTTGTATCAATTTTCCTTCCATCTGTTGTAGAATCTGTCTGTACAATGTTTTTCGTTTTGATCGGGTGCAGTTCAACCATCTCCTGGCCGCAGGAAGAAACTGGCCCAAACCTCGTCAGCATTTCTTTGTGTTTTGGTCTGTCGTACGCATTTTTGGTGAACATCTCGAATTGTTTTAGCAATGGATTTATTAACCCTGCAATAACCATGGCATTAGTGGTGAACAAAACTCTGTCAGTGACAAAGGGTTTTTGCTTCATTTCGGCACATCTTGTCGGAGGTAAAATTTTCAGTCAAGTTTAATGAGGGTGTCTAAGAATAAGTGACTTAAATCTTCAACAGCGATGATTGGTGAAAGCGGTAAAAGCTAGCACTTTAAAAAGTTATAATTGAGACCTTGCATTGGCTCTGACTTGCATGCATGTCACATTACATGAATTGAATGCAGTGTTTGCATCTTCAGTGTTGTAAAAAGGTTTCCTAATGATGTGCTGACTGAAACAAGCCTCTTCTAGCAGGGGATGGGTGAATTCTTTCAAGATTGCTTGAAAAAGAAGGAGGATAATTTTACATTCCTGGCAAATGACATCACTAATATACCTGCCAGTATCGCCTTTGTTCATTTAATTTGTCCTGCCAAATCAGACTAAATTCCCTGAGTAACCCCCCTTTTTTGAATATGAAAAAATTTGATGGTACAAGGAAGATAGTCTTTTTGGTTTGCACAAAAAGTGTTGAAAAAGAATAAGTCATTTTGGGGAGCAATGGATGGTGCAATCTTGTGGATGTGCTACCTCACTACCACTACAACTACCACTACTTGTTAGTGCCAACGCAGTGAAACCCTTCATTTCAAACAGTGGCAAAGTAAAAATGCTCAAAAAATTCCAAAATTCGTTTTTTGAAAATCCTAAGAAACGAAGAAAACATAAGTACTCTGCAAAAGTTCTGTCCAGGAAGTTTCATTTGAATGGTTACACTACAGTTCATCCACAGAAATTATTTAACCTTCAACTGAGAATCATCTCAACATAACTTTAATAAGTTATATTATTTGGGGTGAAGAGGTTAAAATGTCATTTGTGATTGCCTTGCAGACTGCTTCAGACAGTAGTTTTAGGTTAACATAACTGAATCTAAAATTGCCTCAGGTATATGTTCTGGTAATTAAAAAGCAATTAAGGGAAAAAAAGTCAAACTTTGGATGAGCAGCTGGACAAAAATGTAAGCTGCAGATAAAGAAACAAAATAAAAGCTCTAAGATCAATATTTTCTTCTATTTTCCAGCTGTGATAGGAGCAGGACTTCTTTACTTGATTGTACCTTATGAGAGTCACGGTTTGCTTGGCGTGTCCCACATGAAGTCTGTTGCACCCCTGGTTGGGTTTGGAGTTGAGTTGCTGACGTCCTTGGTTGTAATGTTAACAGTGCTGACCTGTACAGGTGGGGGGGAAAGAGCTCTTGATACGTCAGCATCTCTGGTTATAGGAGTTGCTGTTACAGCATGCCATTTGTTTGCGGTAATAGTCATGATATTATTGATATAATGCATTTGCTTCAATAACAGATTAAGATATACTGCATGACACAACACAGGTTGAAGCAAGGATTACCAGTTAAATGCATGGTGATTCCTTTACGTGATCACTTTCCTCTTTTTCCTGATCTAAACATTGGGTACTTAAATGAGTTAAAACAGAATACAAAAGATGATGATGATGATTTTATCATGCATGGTTTTACTAGTGTGCATGATTTCAACTAAATATTGATCATCCATGGCAATGCATTATGAATACTTTTTTCATTTTTTTACATGTTGACCAGTATCCTGTGAGTGGGTGTGCAATCAACCCAGCTCGTTCTTTTGGCCCTGCAGTTGTCATGAACTATTGGACTGATCATTGGGTGAGTGACAAAAACCCACTTAATCTCCTCCTGTCTCTAGAAAACAGTGGGTGGTAGAAAATGGTGGCCTTTCACTAGCAGTCTTCTCTACAAGGCATGCATGCTGCCTAACAAGTCAAAGCTCATTGCCTGCAGATTACTGACATCCATTTTTACTGAATCTTGACAAGTCAGTATTCTTTGAAAGCAATTTTCTCAATTCTCACAGGTTTACTGGTTTGGTCCAATCATTGGTGCTCTATTTGCATCAGGAATCTACCATGTCGCACAAAACTTCCCTGTCACTACTGAAGATGAGCTTGTTATCACTGGGAAAGAAATCAAGAATGAAGCCAAGTCACAAGGTTTTGAACTAGAAGGTCCTCAACATCCAAGCCAAGCTGACATGCAAACACAAACTCCTTATGAACTGAAAACAACAGTGTAACATCCTTCAAGAATGATTCACTTACATACTTGATCTGTGATCAACATGCAATGCATACTTGAATGTATTTTTGGTTACAGATCCCCACTTTGTAACAGATGTTGCTATTCAATACATTGAAGTGATGAGTAAATTTAACCCTTTCATGTTGGACGAATGAATATTTTTTAAGGGGGGAATACAATAAACTTAATAAACTGAGGAAAAGAAGTGATCTCAGATCACATTCTTGGAAGACAATGTTGAACCAACAAAGCTGGAAATTGTGAAAAAACTTATTTTATTTCCATTGGTTTTTTATCATCACATAAAGAGCTAACAATAAAGGCAATGGGCCAGAATTTTTCCTGGCTCAGAATTAAAAAACAGACTACTTTTAATACTGTTTGAAACAATATACAGACCATTGCAGTTTTGAGTACGCTGAGATGTATTTTGAGTTGTTGAAAAATGATTAAACCAAATCCTAGGTTAGACAGCATGACAAATCAGTGGCTAATTTACAGATAACCCAGAATTAAGGTAAAGCAAGCTTTAAACAACTCAGCAATGATAACTAGCCTATGTTCTTTGTAAAGTTTTTGTAAAAATTATTTGTAGAATCATATTATAATGAAGCGTATTCACTAAATCACATCTTCAGAGCATGAATAAGCTGAAGAATGTCAATAGCCCACATAGGATATATTGAAATAATTATTCTAACGTGACTACAAGGCTTTCTGGTCGTTTTTCTATATTTGGTTTGGTTTTCTTTGTGCTCAAGTCTCTTCTAGGAATTGCGAGACAATGGAGTCATAAAAATTTGCAATTCTTACCCTAAAGCCTCGGATTCAGGTTAAAATTTTAATATATTGAAAGTGGGCTATTACCTAAATACATTTTTATACACATATAAAATTTTCTAAGGGGTTGCATGTGTTACAGGTCAAATTTGTTTTCAGGTTAAAGTTTCTAAACCTTGCTTGATTCTCAGTTTCCTTTGACTCTTAGCCCTAAGTCATGAATAATTCGGGCTAGGAGACAACGAAAATTGAGAATCAACCTACAATCTTGGACAGAATAAAATGGAACAGCAAACCTCCATCACCCCAAATCAAGGATGAAGCCTCGCAAAAGCCAAAATGTACCATTTTTAGATTGTAGGTTAAAAAATTTTAACTTAAAATCAAATTTGACCTGTAACACATACATGTATTTCTTTATTGTATGGACCATTAAGGCATTACATGGGTTCACAATAATTTACTACCAACCATTAATATTGAATTTCAAGGCATTCCCTGGAACCCACTTGAATATTGTAAGGGATTAACTACTACGTCCCCCCAAAAAACAGACAAACTTGAATGCCAGCTTACCCTTTGTGCAAGCAGCTCTAACATTGTGCTTGCCCAGGGCCATTGCTGTCATATCTTCTAAAGTAAATAATATTATTTAGTTATAAGAATATCTGGGTCCACAGAGCAGCAGATGTTGAATTTTAAAATTCAAGTGAAGAAAATATTCTAGTACCATACTTGATTTTGGAGCATTTTATCAAAACGTTTTCCTTTCTCACCATCATGAATCCTTGGACAATTCTTTCTTATATACATGGTCCAGTTGAGTACGTTGGCAGAGTTGTTTGAAAGAAGTTTTATACCTGAAAATTAAGGTTTAGTTACCATAACAACTCACGTGCCCCATTTGCAGTTAACCCACGATTACCACCCACCAACCAGGCTTCAAACAACTCAGTCCAGGAATTCATCAAAAATGCATCAGCAAAGAAATCAAAATTGCCATTTCTGTTTTGGATGAAACTCACCCAAGGCCCTGGTTGGTTGTTTGAAAAGTGGATAATGCGATCCACTGGATAAATCTCTAGCCGGTGTTTAAGACAGTGACTGCTTTCCCTAAAACTTATCTTATCCACTGAATGAAAATTTATCCGTTGGATAGCACCATTCAACATTTGAACAACTACAGCCATCTCTCTCTAGAATGGACACCTTTGAAAGTGGCATTATATATCCGTTTTAGCAAGGCATCCATCTTATAGAGGTGTCTGTTAAGGGAGAGTTAACTGTACCCTAGAAAAAGGTTTGGCTAAAATGTCCCTGACTTGAAAGACACTAACCCAGTCCTCTCTCTGGGCTACAGTGATGAAAACACGATTTAAAATAGTTGCAGTCTACTGAAATGTTGGTTTTGTTTCACACTACTTCATAGAGCTCTTCTTTCGGCTCTTCTTCATGGTCTTCTCTTTTTCCTTTTTGGGTGGAGGAGTAACACCAGATGTAATGTGTCGCTCATACAAACTGAAAATAAACAGACAACAGTGAGAATGGTGCTAAAATGGACTGTGATGAGCCATGGCAAGAAGAAACATTTGCATGCCACATGGAAATCAGAAAAATTCTCAATTTTATAAAGCATTAAATTGTGCCTAAAATTTTCAGAAAAATAATATAATACTGAAGCCCTTGTAATTTTGAAAAGACTTAAGTTCCCCTAGGATGACCGAATAGATACAAATTTTATAGTACTGCTTAGAATACATTTCTAGAGATCTAACAGTACTCCAGATAGCCGAAAAAGTGTTTTCAATGTATTTTGGAGGAAACTGTCATTGGGTGCCCCTGATGTGTCCCCTCTCCTGTACTGTGTTCCCATCATAATCATGTAGAATGCTCTGTTTTATTGGCATGATTATGTAAAAAATGAAGTGAATCTTTCCTTGTCAACTAACCTTTTGTATCCATCTGTCTTGATGTACTCAAACACATGTGATGGACCTAAAACAATTTGGTCTTCCAGCTGTTGTAACCATGCATTTCCTTCAGCTCTGAACACATGACGAGGGTTGGCCATGTCAAGCTCACCTTTGCAAAACCAAAACCAATGACACAAGTTTAGTTTAATACATACCAGTCCTAGCCAGGCGTAATGTGCTCTGCTTTTAAAGGCAATTGTGTGAGGCAATCTCCTATTCACCTTCAGATCTAACTTACAGAAAGTCTAATGTTAACCCATCCATTCATCCATCCGTGAAGTGATGCAATTATAATTCCGAGGGACGAACCAACCTCCATTAAGCAATCACTTGTAATCAGCCTGAGACAGTGATTTTGTAAGGAATAGTTATGGTTAGTCCTGGGACTCATCATGTGAAAAATTATGAGTCCTAGTCCAGAACCATTGAGCTCAGTTCCAAAAACAAGGACTTCTAAATTGAAAATGCTTGGGTTTTTATGTAACCAGGCAGTTACTGAATCTGAAGACAGACTCCAAAACTCTTCATCACAATTTATTGAAATTCAAATATAGTCCTTCTATTTAGGCAACAAAAATGTGGGGACTAAAATAAATATGCATCATTAAACAAGAGCCCCATTAACAGCCACAGAAATCACACATAGAGGATTTTCTACAAAAAAAACATCTTCATGTCGATCAATCTTTGCATTCAACAGGATGCATCTATTAAATTATTTTGTGTCGTTGGGGATTTTTATGCGTCAGGGATGCAGGATGCAGAGGTAACAAAATCACTGCTGAGGGTGTCGCTTTAATTAATAACTGAGGCTTTAAGGTATTGAGATTTCAAAATTAATGTCAATAAAGATGCTGCTTGGGGTACACCAAACCCCTAAGTCTGACCTTGTGTGGGGAAAAATGAACCTCTATGAGTGGCCAATTAACCTCCATTAAGTAGTCACTTGCCGTCACCCTGAGGTTGTCGCTTATATAATGGAGGCTTCATGGAATAGAGTTTTCAAAGGTCAATTAAAAAGGTTCTGTGGGTACGTGCCAGACCACTGAGACTTGCATGTATGGGGAATATAATGAGCTATGTGGTTCTGCTCTCACTGCTAAGATGAAAAGGAAAGATAGTTTGTATGTAAGGTCATAAATTCACCTAGTTCAGGAGGAAGAGCTGTGAGCCTGTTGTTTTGCAGATGAAGTTCCTTTAGTCGTGTAAGGTTTCCAAGAGCTTTTGGTAATTCTACAAGATCATTGTCTCGGAGCACCAACTACAATAATAAAAGCAAAAGTCCATCAAGGATGTGCTCTAAGGAAATTGAATGGAGCCCAGTGCTCTGAAGTTCTACAAATTCTAGGGTGCCCAGCATATGATTTGTATTATTAATGACTAAAAAAAGAATGTTGACCTCTTTTAGAGAATAACCCAACAACACCAAAAGTTTATTTGCACCCATCGCAAACTTGCAGATATTTGAACAAGAAACATAGCAATGATATTATGAAATTTGGTGCCTTCCATATACAATGAATACAGTCATTGTGTGGGTATATAAATTATGCTGGTGGATGGCCAATTTTGAACAAGTCCCCATAGAACCTCCATTACCTAGTACACACTGTACATGTAATTAAAAAGTGTTTGAGCAGCATACAATCTAGAATTTGGAGGCTCTTGAATTTGAATCCTGATGATCGAGTTTTCTAATTATGCCTGATTTCTCTTTCTTTGAAATAGGTACAAGGAGGAAATTAACCTTGATAAACCCCAAAGGTCAGAACACACAATGCGACATGTTACTGCAACAGATCGTGGTAAAATATCACCCCTTGTGTACAGGCTGGGCAACAAGTAGTGCACCAAGCCACAGCACCAAATCACTTTGTGTGTACTGGAGAATTTCTGCAAAAATTTTTGTCTCCGCAACAGAAGTCTGTTGCCGCAAAATGTTGCACAAATTCAATCTGATTGATTCTGTGCGACTTGATGCTATGACAAAATTTTGTTGTGGAGACAAAAAGTTTTGCAAAAATTCTAAAGTACACACAAAGTGATTTGTCGCTGCAACTTGTTGCCTGGTGTGTTCCCTCCCTACGGTCTTTAAGTGCTGTTTTTGAAAAACATTCCAATTAAATACCAACTTTCGTACCAAACATTGAGAATGACGGTATTACATGTATCTGTACGAAACAGTTATCTTCTAAGGCAACAATCATTAATTGTAGGAATAATAAATCATTACCACTTGAAGGTTTCGAAGCTCTCCTATCTCGTCTGGCAAAGTTTCAAAGTCATTATCACCAAGATACAGTGCACGTAACTGCTCTAAAAATAACAATAACCAAAAATAACATCTTTCACAAGCTGAAAAGAATGGTGCACCCTATCAAAACAATGAGTATCTTGTTAACAACAGCGGTGCATGTATGCGTAAGTGGCCGAGTGGTTAACAACTCAAACTCCCGATCTGGAGGTCTGGGGTTCAAGCCTCACCCATCGCATTGTTTCCTTAGACAAGGATCTTTACTTCAATTTGTGGGTCTCACTTCACTCAGGTGTATAAATGGGTAACAGCAACATACTGCTGGGGGGTAAACCTGCGATGGACTAGCATCTCCTCCAGGGGGGAGTAGCAATACTCCTGGGCATGTTTCATGCTAAGGAAACCAAGATACATGTAAGCTCTGGCTGTTTTGGCCTCTGGCTTGGAGTTCACTCAGGTGATGTGACACTTCAGTCTACAACTGTACATAAAGAGCTAGAAATACACGGGGAATATTTGTTATGATAATTTTATTTCACATTGTGATATAAATCCTAGTCACAGACTTTTGCTCCAAGGATTTCTCTGAAATTTCTCTGGCATATTTATTATATCAATATTATACTACTGCATGAGAAATTTCTGCAATTTGATTGGCTTAGAGCAGTGGTATTTCAGCTTAATTTGAAATACCTACATGTGAAAATAAAATTACAACCTTTTGCTGGTAGTAGTATAAACAAATAATAGCATGATTTGTACCTGATATTCGGCATAAATACCACTCGTGATATTTCAAAATTGTCTCAAATTTCACTTGCCTAACGGCTCGTGAAATTACATATAACAATTTTGAAATATCACTTGTGGTATTTATGCCAAATATTACTACTAATCATGCTATTACCGATGCAAAGCCAATGCACCATAAATTTCAGTAAAAAACATTGGCAAAATCTTTTACTGGACACGGTTTTCTTTGAACAGTAGGGCCCATTTAAGCACTAATTTTCACAAAAAATATGTACGAACAATGAAATCGGAATATTTCATGGCACTTGAATATTAATGTCGTGGTACAACAACATATTTCACTTACTCATAACAGAAAAGTTTCCTGGTAGAGATTCTTTTTGAAGATTGTTGTAAGTCAAATCCAAGATTTCCAAACCAGAAGCTGTTCCTAAGCCTCTAGGTAAGGAACTAAGGCGATTGACCCTGAATAATGTAAAAGATTAGGAACAAGGATTAGTACAGTCAGTTAGTACTGTACACAGTCTTCTGAGTGGGAGGTTCTAAATTTGATTTCCAGGTGTGACCTCAAATCCTTGCTTTCCTTTCTGGCATGAGTAGCTTTATGTAGCTTTAAATTCCCACAAAATGGGGCAGTTATGGAGAGAGTAAGTAAAATGAGGGCACTGTCAGTTTGAGGTTTGTCAGTCTGATGAGTACTGTTACGAGTTACCAAGATCAAAATAATATGGACCTCTAACTTTTAAAATCAAACTCGGGAAGATGAAAATAACATTTCAATACATATCTGAATAATGTTCCTGCTTGCATAATAATAAGTTACGAGTACTTCTCTAACAAAAATTTGCAGTGTATAGAAATCGTAAAATCCTGACTTTTTACAGGAAAGAAACCTCTCAAAAGGTAGGTACATATAACACACCCTTACACATAGTCATAAACATAATTTAAGAAATACTTACGCAGCATTAAAATGTCGTAGTTTTTTTAAATTACCTAAAGACATCGGAAGCTCCTACAGAAACAAAAAAGAAAAAAATAGACATTATATTACCTACGTGAGAGTGTGGTACTAAAGAAACAGAGAACAATAACATTTTTACCTCAATGTGATTATTGAAGACATTTAGATATTCCAGGCTTTCAAGGCCACCTATGGATTCTGGAAGAGCTAAGGTGAAATACAAGACAAGTAATTTAACTCAAATGTGCCAAGTGAAGGAAACCTATTAATATAAGCTTCAAGCTTTGTTAGGCTTCCTTGTCACATTAGTTTTATAATTTAATTAACACCTTTTGTTCATGTTGTGTAAGGTTTTGTGAGTGACTAAATAAATAAATAAAATAAAAAAAAGTAACTTATAAAAGAGAACTGTATGCCGTGTACTATTGGACGCATGTATAGTGTACTATTATCTTCTGGTGAAGGTTTAATATGACATTTGCATTGGTCTATGCTGACAAACATGTCTCACATTCAGAAGGCAGGTGCATGTCCAAGCTGTATTGAATAGCCTAGATTTAATGCCATTTCATTTTTACACTGGCCCACAGATCGGCCCAGGCTCAACCTCCACCTGGATGTTTAGAATTCAAGATTATCAGAAACCAATAAAAAAGATCTTTTCTTGGTTGCCCTGTGTTATGATTACATTAAATAATCTAATGCTGTAAATCCTCTATCAAGCCTCAAAAACATTTGAGGGGATACTTAATAGAGCCGGGGGGGAGGGGGGCTTATTTAATTTAGCAATAACGATGGTATCAGTTGACGTATAAAGAACTAGAATCAAAGTGAAAAAGCTCAAGTACAATGGCTGGATGTTATGCATCCAAGGACCAAAAACAAATCCTCATATCCAGCTGGTGAATAAACCATTCTGGATCAGTCCCCACTAAGTGCATGTATTACAGTAACCAACAGTCTGTAATACATGAACTTAGTGGGGAATGTGATTGATAAATATACTACAGGGTTCTCAAAAAGATTTGAAATAGGCATCTACCTAACCTTAAGTAGACGGCTGTGACAAAGGGCCGTACACTAGGAAGGGAAAAACAGCAAATACTGGTAGAATGCAAAGTAAGCAGCTACATACAAATTCCAAAGTAGGCAGTGACTGATCACCGGGTGCCAGCTTGGATGTACTGAGAACCCTGCAGTATGTCATTTATTTTAGAGAGGGGTGGGGGGGTTGGGGGGAGGAGCAGGCTTAATAGAGGATTTACAGTATTAGAGAAAAACCTGGAGAGAAAACATTCAAAATCTTAGGTGCAACAAACATTTTCCCCATTTTGGCACTGGTCAAAGCCAAATCTAAACTGCGTATAAGATCTCCATACAACACCAAACATTAATTTATCTATTTATGTATGCCGCACTTTCATACTGTACTTATTCACACAAATGGTCAATATGAATACTTCGAAACATGTGTGCATAATGAATATATGAAAATCTTACTAAACTGTGTGTGCATGAAAATAATTATTGATTTTAAGGGTGTGGAGGGGGTTAACAAAAATGGCATTTTGGCCTCAAATAATTACTAACACTAACTACAGCTTTTATACAATGTACAACCTCACCTTCCCTCTAAGTCGGTTTTAACTTCTTCCTTTTAAAAATCACAAAAGAATTGGATTCCCAGTTATCTTTCAAAATTTCGACAATCGTATTATACCAAAAACAGGACCTCATGTTTGGAGCGGAAGAGTCCTCTTTTAGGTATGCAGAGAATTTCCACATTTCTTCACACCCAAAGTTAGAATCTCAGATGCTCTTACATGAGCATGTACACCTAAGATAATGATTCTCTACTCTTCTACTATAAAAACTTACATGTTAGTCTGTTATGACTTAGCGTAAGCCGCACCAGACTTCTTAACTGAGCTGAAAGAAATTAAATAGAAAACATAATTATAAGGCTTTCATAGAAGACTGGCCAGGCCGGACTAAACCGTCGAATCGTTCTATATTCAAGAAACGCTTCCAAACTTACTCAATCCAGGGATATCCTTTATATTTGACAAGCCTCTGTCACATAGATCTATGTCAGTGTAGCCTTGTTCTTTGGCTTCCTCGACGAGCTTTTTTACAGACTTCGACATTTCGAAGATCACCAAACTCGAACTTCTCCACTGTTTTTCTTCCAGCGGCCTCTACGTCATGTATGCCAACAATAACCTTTCCTCGTCGCCAGACCTCTTGAAATATGTGAAGGAAAGATGGCGGTAACGCGACAAGCCAATCTGTTTTGATACGTTTGGATCACGAAATTTAAGGCTAAAAATGCAATCCTCATGACTACTCTTCTCTACAATGCCTTACCATGGGGGACACGAGGTGCTTGTCAAGCTTTCTACTCTCTTGCAATCACATGGTACGTAACTGAATAAGACAAGTTTTAATTTCCGTGACACTAGAGCTTATTTTATCCCCCAAACCTTTCTTATGAATTTAAAGATCAAAACTGTTTTAAGTGTGGTAAAGTTGTCTATCAATTCCTTCGCTTGTATAAGGAGTTCTGTATCTGCCCTCATTAGATGCCTTTAGTCTCCTCGTAACCAAATATTTAACTTTTTGTTCGGATCTTGTTTCGAAGTGACAAAACATTGTTAACTCGTGATTCAGCCAAGTCGTCATGTGACGATGACAAGATCAAAATTTGACAATTTACTTTTTCTGTACAAAATAAAAAAGAAACTATTTACCATGAATGAGTAATAAACAAAGGTTTCTTTGTGCGGGGGGACGTTACTTCTAGACATCTGTAGGATTTTGATTTTTTTTTTTTTTAGCATTTTGGCACTTTTATGGTCTCCCAAAAGATTTATAAGCTTCCCTCTTCTCATTCTGATGCTGTTAACGACTTTAAAAAAGAAAACTAATTTTGGCTACCTTTGTTTTCCAGGAGATGCAGTTTTAAGACAAGAGAGCCAGCTATGTTTAACAGCTACATCACTTGTTTTTCTAAACCAATGCTTTGACATTGTCAATTCAGGTAAACTATCTGTTTGTGACATCTTTTACTTAGGAGCTTCAATTAGAGAAGAGATGATTTTGTGAAAACAAAAGTGCTTTATAAACTGAAGTGATTGTTTTTGCTGTTTAATTAAACTTTGATCCTTTTCCTCATGGCATAATAATGAGTTTAATGCCAGGTAACCAAACCCAATCAAACTTCAATCAAGACTGGGATTTGAATTCGAATCCTGACCTTAGTGATGATAATATGCAACTCCTGACAATGCAAGGGTTTCAATAAGCACCAATGACTGATGAAACGGGTGAGCTACTTGCTCACGTAAGTCAGCCACTGTTTTTCCTAAAAGAGGCAGCTATAAGTACAATGTATTAAAAATCATGTCAGAAACAAAAAAGATATCATGAAATCTCCATGAAGTCGTAGTTATGATGTGTGTTCCCAAAAGCTCACTGGTTTTACATTATGCTTTAGTTATGTAAATGCCGTATTTCAGTCAATTTGCCACATGTTTCTCCATAGGTTTACACAGAATTCGTTCACATGCAAATTTCCAAATTCACCCCCAGACCATGCGCTATTCAAATAATTTACAGGCTACCTCAATTTTTTTAAACCCCTGCAATTTATTCAAAAGAGCTACAGGTAATCAAACCTCCAGAAGCTACACTAACCGGCTAAACTCTCCGTCCACATTAAGTTGACACAAGCACCGGCTTCTCACCAAAAATAATTTTAAAGTAGAAAAATAAATCCATCATAGTTCCCAATTCAACACTTCTGTTCAATTCATGCAAATGTGAATAAATAAAGGTTATCATCCTCAGGGCTAATATTTCTTTCCCTGGTCCCTCAAAGTGCTTAATTGAAATTCCCTTAATAAACAATCATCAAGGGTTGAACTTTAGATTGATGCGCTTGGAACTTCCAAGTGTTTTGCAGTGATGTACTCCACATCTATACTGTAACAGCACCCAGTGGCCCCTGGTGCCTAACTTTTGCTCTTGGGCAACTAGAAAATCTTACTACTTTCATAAAAATCATATGCTGGGCACCTTAGATTTCACAGGTTCAGAGCACCAGGCTCCCTTTAATTTTCCTAAGAGCACAGCCTTGGCTTTGGTGTCATGAAATTGTGACAACATGTTAGAGTATTACCAGATTTTTTGTAAGATAATTTTGACAAAAAAATGTGTGCGCAAACATATTGTCTTAGAAAAATGTTACCCTAAAGGTGTCATACATTAATGTGGTTAAAAAAGTTGAAAATGACACTGTTTGTTGATTTTTCTATTAATTTATAGAGCAGCAAGGAACAAGCATATTAGGAAAACGAAAGGGAATATCTTACAGAGACAAGGAGGCTATTACATTCCTTCTTGATTTTCTTAGAAGGACTCCTTCATTGAGGGTAATAATTATTTTAAAACACTCTTAACCCATTCTTTAAGCATTAACTACAGGTGAATCTCCATATTTAACCCTTAGCCCTGAGAGTGATCAGCGTTAAATTTCTCCTTGTAATATCAATGCTTTGTAAAACAGAGTGGTCATGAGAATTACAGACATGATCACACAAGATGAATTTGCTACATGTAGATGTTTTATCAACTACTCCCCACTACTTCTATAGGAAATGAATAGGGACAACACATGAGAAGTCAAGTTTTGATCTTAGGGCTTAAAGGGTTAAGCAGCCGCTTACAGTGTACATGTATTAAGTGGCCGTACTCTATTACGTGGACAGTAATCAAAGTGCCAAAATAATTGTGGAATTAAGAAAAAAATCGTAAATCAAACCTTTCCA